ATTATTTGTTTGTGTTTTTTTTTTTGTATTTGTTCATACTTTATTGTGTAAGGTGCCCTTCAGTGTTTGAAAATAGTCGATGATGATGATGATGATAATAATAATAATAATATTTATTATATTTGAATTTATATTGTATGTTCTTTGAAAAATATTCATTTTCAAGCCATTTTATATTTATTTATTTACTTATGTCATTTTGTAAGGTGTCCTTAAATATTTGAAAAAATATATGTATTTATTTATTTGTCATTTTATATTGTGTGAAGTGTCCTTGACTGTCTTGAAAAGAGGCAAGTAATAATATTTTTTTGTTTATTATTATTATTATTGTCATTTACAAGATATACACAGGTCTAAACATGACATGAAAAGGAACCTGTTGGTTGTTTTATGCTTTGTGTCAGTCAGGTCTCTTCCTGTCTAATTGGACGGTTCTTTGTCAAAAAACACCTGCAGTGGACCAATCTTAAAGCTCAAATCGATGTATGCATAGTATAATACCAAAAATGTTTACTTCAGGTAAATGCAGTATGATATCTGTGGCCCAATATTTTGTGCTCTAATATTCCTGTTTTTGTCCAATTCCCAGTGCTGCCAAAAACGATATCAAGAAAAACAGCTATTGGGCATGCATACTATTTCTGACAACATAGAAATGGTTTTGTTTTCCCTCCGATGGAACATGGCAGACTTAAAATCAGTCACAGAAATGTCATATGGCACAGAGGAACCGCAAGCACGGGTCAGGTAATTTCATGGAGCGCATTTTCACAGCATATCAAAAATTCATGAACCAACAATATATATTGGCAATATGCACCCTGCAGAGGATACCAATGACTTAGCATCTCTAGAGTCATATGTGTGCTTACATTTCGAAGCATGCTGCAGTATAAATGTTGTTTATTAATATCAGTCTAACAGACATTCTAAATTTCCCCTCGGGGGTCAATAAAGTGACTTTCTAAACAAATCCAGTCTCATTGGGTGAGCCAAATTCAAAGGCATTTGTATAAAATGACCGATCTGCGCATGCATGGCCGCACCTCGATTGGATTTTATATTAATATTCCAAAGCTGCTACAAACCATTAGTCTCGCGAAAAATATATGCAGGTCACATTTCTACCCAAAATCCAAAGCAGAAAAACTTTTTTAAATCAGATATTTCTTGCATAATAAAATAAGCCTGTTTTTCCATTGTGACAGTTAAGGGCATCTTCTCCCTAAATTCTCATAACAGCAGTGTGACTGGGAATTATTTTATTTTTTATTTTCAAGGGTATGTACAGTATGTATGTATTTATTATAAATTCATATTTATATAGAATTTTATATCATATTTAAATATTGTATTATATATTTTTTTATGCATTACAGAAGTGAAAATTTAAGATGAAAATGTACACTAAATACAACTACTACTACTAATAATAATAATCCTAAAAGGGCTTAATTTCCTTTATATAAGTATAATTTTAAAAAAAATCAACAAAACACACACACAGGTTTTAAAATGTAATGATGATGATGATGATAATAATGAGGAGGAGGAGGAGGAGGATTCAAAAATAATTATTATATAATTAAGTTATTAAATTTAAAAAATAATAAAAACAAAATACATTTACAAATGTTATACAATTTTTAGTAAATAGCTTACTTAATAAAATTAAAATTAAATATTGTATATTTTGTCATTGTTGTATTTATTTTTTATTATAAATGCATATTTATATAGGATTTTATATCATTATAATAAATACATGCATATGTGTGTGTACTCTTTATATTTATTATGTATATATAAATACACACACATGCATGTATGTAAGGAAAATATGTAGTGTTTATTTATTTAATATAATTATATATAATATAAAATATGAATATAAATATATAAATGTAAATACATGTAAATAAAGTATATTACAGATCTTCTTTATGCACCAAGAGCTTGTAACACTCCAAAGAGAAAGGAAAAATTTAAAATCGCATCATATGACCCCTTTAAGTATTATTAATAAATTATTAAATTGCGTAAATAACTAATTTCATTGTATGCAAAGAAAAATAAAAGGAAATAGAATATATACATACATACAGTTACACTTTATTTTAAGGTGTCCTTACAGTGTAATTATACCTTAAAGTACTGAGTAATATTAATTAACTACATACTTACTATGTGGTTAGGGTTAGGTTTAGGGTTAGTTGCATGTAATTCTGCATAAATTATTATTATTATTATAAGTACATGTAACCTGTGTAACATGGACACCTTAAAATAAAGTGTTACCAACTTCGCATAATATAATTTTCATGTTTAAAATTTGTGCGTTTAATATTGTATCCAGTATATTCAGACGAATATGATGGAGACACTTGATCTAGATCTTTTTCGACCTTTCTTTCACCCCTGATGCTCCTCGATACGGTTCGAGTCCATGTCATCATTTAGCACAATTCCTCAACCACACGATTTTAATTTCTAATGCACTCCCACTGACATTATGCGATGCAAATTGAATTAAATCCGGTCTTCCCATGCATCTCGTTCTGGCCTTCAGGGCAATTGATTCCGTTCTCTAATTCGAGGAAGTGGGAGGGGTTCTTTGGCTTTGATGAAGCCTCTTGGTGCTACTTTCCGTATTGACAACCCATAGATGCATATCCTCGGGACCGTGCAGTTGTAATGCGTTTCAACAAGATCCATATCCAATCCAATTAACAACATCAGCAGCGACTGAATTACACTCATAAATGTGTAAATGTCTTAATATCACTAATAAATTATCGCCAGGGTGCAGGATATCATGAATATGCAACATCCGTTGTGCATCCAAGATTGGAAGCACGATACTCGGAGAGGTCGTGCAATCAAATTTGAATAATTCATGAACGTGCATTGCTGCGCAAAAAGAAGCCTTTTGTTCTCATCAAAAACTTCAAAAGTACAAATATCAAAACCTTTACACGCAATACGTGATGTAACGCCTGACCCTAAGATCAAGAGACTATCAGAGATCAACTGACTGGAGAAAAAAAAACACTAAGGCCTTAGAAGTTGAAAAAAAATAATAAAAAAATCGAACCATTGTTCTGAAACGCATTAATAAGTGTAAGCCGCGTGTCTAAGTGAAATATCCACATGATGGTTTGGATAAAGAGGTAATTTAGCAACAGTAGATCAATCAATTTTTATGCAGGCAGCTGAATTCCCACCAGGTTTCCATACGCTCCGGGTGATAAAAGAAAAAGCTTCTGTTGCAGGATGCCATGTGGAGTTCAATGATATTAAAGCATGCATAAAACTACAGAATAAAAGTCATTAGCTATGTAAATCAGCCACTGACAGTAGAATCACTTTATTGCAATTCAAAACATCCATTCAATGCGGAAGAAAAACGATATTGCACGTAATGTCAGAAAAAAAAATGCATTTAAAGGCTGGAAAATGTAAACAAAAAATAAAATAAAAATACCACCCAAAAGTTCACTTTGTTTAACTAGTTATATTAATGCATGTACAGTGTCATGAAGGTTTAGTCACATTTGTTTGAGCTGTAGACGAAGTCTTCGCTATTCGTCATGGATGCTGAGCCAATATCAGATTTCTTCTCGTGTTGTGGACTTAGATGAAGGACCAGCATCTGTAGACAGTAGAATAAAATATACTGTAATGTATATATGTGTATTTTAGTGCTGTCAAACGATTAATCGCATTAAAAATAAAAGTTTTTTGTTTACATAATATATGTGTGTGTACTGTTTGTATGTGTGTATTTTGAATGCGATTAATCGCATTTCCAAATATGGTATAAGGGGCATAACATTTCCGTCACACACTTGAGGTATTCGGCCAATCACAACGCACTGGATAGCTGACCAATCAGAGCACACCTCGCTTTTCAGACCGATGAGCTTTGTAAAAATCGACGCATTTTAAAAAGGTGGGGCAGAGAGGAGCAACAATAATGTACGGTATGTGGAAAATAATTTGTTTTGAACCTTAAAGGGGTCATATGATGCGATTTCATTTTTTCCTTTCTCTTTAGAGTGTTACAAGCTCTTGGTGCATAAAGAAGATCTGTAAAGTTTTAGTGCTACGTTTAACCTGCTATTCTAACAGTAACAGATTAGCATGTGAGATTAGCATATAGCCGACTAACCTGCTAGCTTAGCTTTTACTGACAAACAGGAACAATTGATAGTTTTCATGTGACGTCACACCCTTATAGGAACGCCCACCTGGAGGGCAAAACGAAGCTTTGCTCCACTGACCGACAGTTATTTTTACGCAGATTGCATTAAGTAGTAATGTAGTAAAACCAGATATTAAAAGGCGAATTTCAGTAAACACCTTATTGATGATGTATATTTTGTACAGGCAAGCAGATGAACCCAGAATATAAACACAATGTGCAAAGTTTCACAATAAATGGTTTCCCATAGAAGACTATAAGGAAAACACTGAACCATTAAGCGGATTACGTTCATATTCCAGCCTCATCTGCTTGCCTATGTAAACTATGCATCATTAATATGGTGATTACCATAGATCAGGGGTGGGCAAACTTGGCCCTTCCAGGCCACTTTCCTTCAGAGGTTAGCTCCGACCCTAATCAAACACACCTGAACCAGCTAATCATTGTCTTCAAGACTACTAGAAGGCTACAGGCAGGTGAGTCATATCAGGGTTGGATCAAATCTCTGCAGGAAAGTGGCCTGGAAGGGTTTGAGGGGTAGGGGTGGGTTTAGGTTAAAAAGTGTATAACTATCTGTATATAAAAACAATAGAAGTCTATGTAATGTCCCCATTTAGATAGCTAAGTAAACGTGTGTGTGTGTGTGTGTGTGTGTGTGTAAAATAGTATATCAGTCTGGCGAGTAAACAAAAAAATGTACTAGCCAATGGCAATTATATTGCCAAGGTGTGCGTAGAGGGTTGCATACCTTTGTTTTATTCTTTTGAGAGGTGATCTAAATATTTGCGGATGGGAAACAGATGGCAATTTTTGGCAAAAATTGACAGGCTTGTGCTATGAAAGCTATGAATTGTTGTTGTTTTTGTTTTTTTCAGTTAGGTCACAAGATAACTGGTTTGATTAGGCTAGCTTTGCATTCTGTTAACTATTATTCTGTTATTAGATATTAACATATCACTAGCAGATTAGCCTGTTAGCTTAGCTTTCACTGCTAAAAAAGAATGCTTGGAAATTGGAAATAAATTTGGGATACACAACAAATAAACTAAGCATATTTGAGGATGTATAAATGCTTAAAAGACGTTGAAATTGATATTGTTCCAATTCGCTGCAAGGACCTCTATTGTAGTGTAACAGTCACATGTCACAAACAGCTCAGGTGATTGGCTGAAAAAACTTAGCATCCATGAAGAAAAGATAGCAGCATACAGGGTTCATACTTCCATCAGTTATGACCAAGCCAGCTGAGCATCTGCCATTGAGATGCTAATGTATACCTTTCTCCAGGTATGTTTGACCTTCTTTGAAGTAAAATCAATGAACAAAAACTGTTTAAAGACAGTCAATGATTATCTTTACCTTGTGAGGTCTGGTTTTCTAGTTGAGCCTCAGGTTGATCCACCCACAGTTTATGTTTAGGGTTGTTTGGGAACTGTTTGGTCAGTCCGCAACTTAAACATCGCACAATAGTCTTACGTTGTCGCATCGGTCCTCCTTCAATATGAAGATTTAATATACATTGTTTATTTTAGATAGATAGATAGATAGACAGACTTACTTTTTTGTCGTACAGTTGATGTGACACCTGGTATTAGTAAAGTGCAGCATTTTTTGCAAATGGTTCTCTTTACTGATGGATCTCTGCAAGGAAATGAAGCTCCATCATAGATGTTTTTTATTTAAAACCCACATTAATAAGGAGACACTACTCACTGTCTGAGCACCAGTCGTTTGGAGATGGTCTTCTGAGTGAGGCAGTAAAATCTTGCCAGTTCAGTATTCTCTGGATTTTGAGCCAAAACGCAGTGAGCAGCCTGGGATCCATCATCAGAAAACATCACGAGAAGGTTTGGAGATATTGAAATAAACAGATCTGACACACAAACTCATTAACCTGATAGAGGAAGTTCAGACGTTGATATGCTTCTTTATCTTTTATATTTCCGGCCATGTTTCTCAAGGGATGTTTATCTGTCTTTGAAACTTCAAAGTGTGAACTTCTACTGCGTAGCCTACTGCATGACAGCATGCTTGTTTTATTCCTTCTGCTTCTGGGTAAAATCCTGCTTCTGGGTAAAATCACTATATTTGCTATATATCGCCATCGCGTGGAGCAGCGATGTAATGTCATCTTCATATAATAATAATAATAATAATAATAATAATTTATGCATTTATCAGACGCTTTTATCCAAAGCGACTTACAGTGCATTCAGGCTATAAATGTTTTACCAGTATGTGTGTTCCATGGGAATCGAACCCACGACCTTTTGCGCTGCTAACGCAATGCTCTACCACTGAGATTGTGTGAAATAACCATACTGCGCCTCCTAGCGGCATAACGCTTAATTCAGTTGCGTTTGTGGACTTGGAGTTCACATATAGCCGAATTAGTCCTTTATATTAGAAATGACAGCATTACATGTACATATATGAAAAAAAAACAAACATGAAAAAATGAAGGAAAAAAACATGAAAAAACACTTTCACTTTCAAAATATAGCCTATAATTATGTAGGCGTACGTGTGTGGAAAATGTACAATATTGATATGCATGTGTTGCTAGGAGACAAAATCGAGTGGTTGCTTAAAACCTAATTTCATCCATTTTCAGACAGCCCTTTTTAATTAGGCTATTTATATAAAGGTTTTCAAACATTTTGTGTGGGGAAAATATTAAGTGGATATTGCTTCTGGAATTAGGTGTTTTTAAAAAGTGTCTAAAAATAAAAACAAAACTCATTATAAAAAAAAAAAAAAAAAAATAAATTTTTTTTAATATGTGGAATAATTTTTTTTTTTTTTTCCCAACCACTATTCATGTTCGGTAAACTTTAAAACAGATTTATTTTATTTTACTTTTATATCGTCCTAGAAAAACTGTTACTTTAAAAAGAAAAAAAAATAACTTTGATTAATTATTATTATTATTTATTTATTATATATATATATATATATAGCTTTTACATTGTTACTTTAATGTGTATTAAAACTTACTTAAACATACACTTAAAATTATTTCTTCCTGTCAAAACCGTCATTGTAAATAAAAAAATAATAATAATTTGTTTATCTATTTTAAGATTTTACATTGTTACACTGTCTATCAATCAATCTCTGCCAAAGGGAGGGGGGTCCGGAGTGGGTGTTGGGCGCACAAAACTGGCAGTCAGAAGTCTCTTTCTGCACACTGGGCGCGCGTACACACACACACACACACACACACAGGGCCCTTCCTCACAAGTCTCCAGTCCAGTCTGTCAAATCACCCAGCATGTGAAGCCCCTGCGAGCCTGGAAAACGTTCTCTCTGGATACTTCATTAAGCGGCTTTAATAAATGCGCATCTCTTCCGGATAATACTTTTGACTTGTCTTGGGGGCTTTTCTCTTTCTCATACATTGGCTCAGAGGGCTTTCTGTGGACTGAGATGGTGCAATGTTAAAACAGATTTATTTTATTTTACTTTTATATCGTCCTAGAAAAACTGTTACTTTAAAAAGAAAAAAAAATAACTTTGATTAATTATTATTATTATTTATTTATTTCAAGTTTTCAAAACGAATTGAATATTATCTAAAAGTGTTAAAACTTTGAGTTTTTTTTCTACCCACTATTTAATGTTAGATTATTTTGAAATAAAGAAAACAAATATTTTTACTACCCCTTCCTGTCAAAAACTGTATATACTGTATATATATATATATATATATATATATATATATATATATTTATTACATTGTTACTTTAATGTGTATTAAAACTTACTTAAACATACACTTAAAATTATTTCTTCCTGTCAAAACCGTCATTGTAAATAAAAAAATAATAATAATTTGTTTATCTATTTTAAGATTTTACATTGTTACACTGTCTATCAATCAATCTCTGCCAAAGGGAGGGGGGTCCGGAGTGGGTGTTGGGCGCACAAAACTGGCAGTCAGAAGTCTCTTTCTGCACACTGGGCGCGCGTACACACACACACACACACACACACAGGGCCCTTCCTCACAAGTCTCCAGTCCAGTCTGTCAAATCACCCAGCATGTGAAGCCCCTGCGAGCCTGGAAAACGTTCTCTCTGGATACTTCATTAAGCGGCTTTAATAAATGCGCATCTCTTCCGGATAATACTTTTGACTTGTCTTGGGGGCTTTTCTCTTTCTCATACATTGGCTCAGAGGGCTTTCTGTGGACTGAGATGGTGCAATGCTCCGCAGGACAGCACCGCGTGTATGTTGCTTGTGGATCCTGCTCTCCAGTGTGTTAATATGGAGAGTTCACTGCGCCAGCGCGCAGAGCTGTCATGAGGTTAAAACCGCTTTCCAGCTGCGCCAAGTCGGTTCATTAAGATGGGTTCCGGAGACCGCGGCAACAGGTTCGTTTATAAATACTCGAGGGTTACTGTGAGAAGCAGTGTCTAATATAGCTAAACATGCATATTCTCCACACTATTTCAAACGGTCTTCTTATTCAGAGGTTAATTCTTTGTATATTGATTCACTCTGCACAATTATTGCCCAAGAAAAAAGTTACAGCAAACTAACACACTGACCAATAGCGGGGCATGTTGTCACTTTAAGTTGTAGTAAAGCTTAATTGCAGCTAAATTTAAGCTGTAACTACTACGGAAACGCAATTAACAATACCCGAAATGAATATACAAAACAACAAAACCTTACATTGTAATTAAGAATAGCCTATAATGTTATTAAATGTATATTAAATGTTAATGTCTAACATTTCATACACGCGTGACAACTTGCCACAAACTGACGTTTATGAAAAATGCATGTGACCTTTTCGTCAAAATGTACCTTCTTTTGTATGTACCTTTGTGACTGACATTTTTGACCGTTTTAATCACCTTTACCATTTAAATAGTCCTGTCATGAGGTAAATTATTTCTTAGGTCATCATAACTGCATGTAGGCCCATAATATTTATACTTAAAGAATTAGAAAGATATTGTTTAAAATAGTTTAGATGATGTGTAGTTAAACAAAAGAAGTTAGACGTGTGAAGTTAGTTAATGATCCAGAAAATATTTACATAGCCTATCAATTTATTAGTATTACTGTAAATGTTTACATATAAGCCTACGTTAGGCATATGTTGTACTATGTCAACTGTAATGTAATGTGTGTCCAAAAAAGTCATCTAACAAATAAGTCATTTTGATGACAGAGCATAAATCAGAAATGTCAGTGGTGTTGACAAAATTAACACGACTGTAGGATAGGCTGTCAAATGGTTTTCATGTTCCACATTTCATGTTAAATCAAAAACGCATTCCTGAATAGAAGTCATTTCAAACATTTTTGGGAGTTGCTATGAAATTGTAAACTGGGCATATTCGGTTTGTCTCAAGTTCTTGTTTATGGAAAGGATACATTTGAAAAGTATGACTGTTACAAAACAAACTTTTATTCTTAGTGCGCAAGTTTCAAGGCATTGCTCCATGTGTATTGAAAGGTGAGAGAGGTCAGCAGAATGCCAGTCAGCTGTTCTAATGCATGGCTTATAGGGTCCCGTCGGTGTAAAATTGGTCACATATGATAGGGCAGGGTGACTGACTGAGCAGATATCATCTGTCTTTATCACATGTGCTCTCCTCTTTTACATGCACCTTCTTGCCATACAACCGCACTCTATGTGTGTTATTTTGGACCCATATGAATGTTTTAAAGACAAAATGCTTAGAAATTTTATTGTAGTTTTAAAGAACTTAATATAGTAGCTGTTAAGTTTTTGTTGAGTCACTTTAATTGTTTTGTAATTAATTTTTAAGTGTTGAAAGGTCACATTTTCCATAATTTAGGTTCATCTAGATTTTAACTTTTTCTCTGTAGTACAGTTATAAAAACTGTTAAAATCAGGGAAATTGTAGATTGTGCTTTCTCTTTGTACCTTAAAAAAATAACACTTAAAATATTTTCAAATCATATTTTGGGATTTATGTGTATATGCCACAGATAATATCTAAAATCCACTCCAAATCCACTTGATGAATAATTACGACCATGATCACAACAAGTTGTTGAAATGGTATTTGCCATTAAACAGCTAAATTTCAGCTATATTTGAACAATAACAAAATGCAAAACAATACCTGAAATGCCAAAAATGGAAAAGGTAACATACCAAAAAAACAAACCAAACAATTGTACCAATGAAAACCATTATCAGAACTTTATTGCAAGACTTGATTAAAGAGAGACAGAGATTTGAAAGGATTCATTAAGGTATCAAGTAGTCAAAAATGCCCCTAGAATTGAAACACCTTCTATGATTAATCCTCCATAGATGCAGATCTTCTTATCTGCAAACACCAGGGTCCCACATGCTGCACCCGCAAGATGGAGGAGAGCTACTACGCCGCTGCCAAGAGAGACACACTCCAGAACATTCTCTCCTATAGTTTCGAACTCAAATATCTCATCCTGGGCCATGCCTCTTCCTTCCAGGGTACGTATCGATATCGAGTGGAGCTTATTTGTCGAATAAATACTAGGCCATGTGCTGTTTGCATTTGCAGCAGGAGCAAGAGGTCATGGGATCAAGTCCCTGCCACAGCAGGTGGTTCACACGTTCACTGCATGCTGTGGCTTTGTACACATGTATGGGAGACACCAGGGTGGTGTTATGAGTCGTATACCGTGACTTTCCAAGGGTTACTTGGAGATTTGCTTTTTGTCCGCTGTTTTTCACACTCACAGAATGATCCTTTATCTGCCTGATGTCTCCTGTGAAGCAGTACATGTGCTTCTTAGAGGTTGATTGGCGCTTTAGGACTAGGACAAGGCTTTTCAGAATCAGTGTTTGAATAAAACGTACAAAAAGAAGCAATCAGAAAGATGTTTCTCACACACACACACACTTAGACTGACTCCATACATGTCATTATCTACTCCAGGGCATTTTTATGTATAACATGAGACATAAGACGCTTCACATTTACAAGTCCTCGCCCAACCAAATATTTAAGTTCATCCAATTTGTCCGCCCAAACTTGCACAAAAACCCTTTCAGGTTCACAGGAAAAGGGCACTGTCGCCGTCCTCTCTGTCTTTGCTGCCAGCCGAGTGAATATTTAACGAGTTTAAAGCAAACGAAAAGAAAAATGTTGAAATTCTTGGCGTATCCATGGAGATCCGTCTCAGTGCACTTCAATGTATTGCTCTATAATGAGAGCTTTTGAAAAGATCAGTTGTGTTTTTCTGCTACTTTTCGCATGGTTGTAGCTGGTGTCCTGTTTAAAAGAAAGAAGGTCTGTAAAGTGTTTTTCATTCCCACGTGAAAGAGGATTTTTAATGTAGACCGCTTTTTGTCTATATGCCTGTGTGTTTAAGGGTAAAGTAATAATTCAAGTATGAACCTTGTGGACTCTCTTGGGAATGTGTCTGTTTAAGAGTTAGTTCACCCAAAACTTCTGTTCTTACCAGTATGATTTTCTTTCTTCTATTGAGGTCAAAAGTAAATATCTTGCAGAATTAATTTTTCTTAATGGGGACAAGGACTGTCAAGGTCCAAAAACTACGCCAATGATGAGACATGTGAGAACCAAAGATGTTTAATATTGCTGACGTCAGTCTTGCCCTAAAATGCAGGCAGGATGATCTGTTAAAGATTTGAGAGTGAGTACATTTTGAGGTGTTTCTATTTCTTTAAAAAGTCCTCTGTTTCTTTAAAAAGTAATTTCACTGTAAAGCAAATCACATACCATCTGTCCAACAAAGCCCAACTATCCTCTCCAACCTAAAAGGCACTAAAAATACTGTGTGATGTCTTTTCTTGATCTAAATTCAGTCCTGGACCATGGAGTGAGTGGAGTTACTCTGACACTGATCTTTTTTTATAGTAGGACCCACATCAAATCCAGTAGGCACTGAGTTAATAGAGTGATCAGGGGTATGGTCATCCA